TCCCGGGCCACAAGGGGCTTTAAATCTGCTCCGTGGCCTGTGGTGGGGCTCCCATCCCCCGCGAGGGTCTGGGCTGGAGGGTGTGAGGGCTCCGGGAGCTGCCCCAGTGCCAGGGCAGAGGGTGGAAGTGCTGAGGCTGAAGTGGTGGCTGGGGCAGGGGGTTGCTCTCAGATGATGCCATCCTGGAGGAGATTTGCTCAGCAGCTCTCCTGGCTTGGTAAAGATGACATCGTTGGAGAAGTCATCACCTTGCAACCAGCCCAGATTGCCTTCCCCTGCTGGAGGAGCCTCTGCTTTGCTTCAGCAGTGGCCAGTGAGCCAGGAGACCACGGTGATGGTTCTGACAGCAGCCTGATCCCTCTGACCTCGCACTGCAGTGGTGGGTGCAAGCATGGGCAGATGCTGCTCAAAGCTGCCCCCATCCTCCAGCTCCCTGGCTGGGGAGGTTGCACAGCCATGCCCAGAGCAGCCAGAGTGACCCCAGCAAAGCCAAGTCCTCTTCTAGAAGAAAGGGCTTCATTCTTGCTTTTAAGGTGGTGGTCTTCAGCACGAGGTTTGCAAACCCCTTGGGGCAGGCAGAGGAGGACAAGCCATGGGTTAGACCCTTCCCATGGACCATCCATCCCAGCAGAGCCAGGCTCTGCTCACCAAAAAATGAGGTTGGACTGGATGAGCTTTAAAATTCCCTTCCCACCCAAACCATTCCATGATTCACCCTGTGAAACCTCCCTGGAGATCTCTGGAAAGCGCCGAGGGGTTGGCAAAGCAAGGGAAAGGTTGATGGCCACCATCTGAAAGCAGAAGGACCCTCGCTGCATGGTGGTGTGTGTGCATGTGCAGAGGGACAGCTCGGCTGGTCCATCACACAAGAGAACCCTCTGAGGGCAGATTGGGCCACAGCTTCTGCTGCAGAGAGCTGGGGGATCCCAGGGTGGAGAAGGCACCAGCCAACCTCTCAGAGCAGCTGTTGGGTCCCACCCCTCTGACTGCCTTAGTTCCTCTTTCCCAAGAGCTTCCAATGCTCTGCTTTTTAAATTTGAGGCTCCTGGAGTCCTGGAATGATTTTTTATGATCAGCAGAAACCATCATTCGTGGCAGATGAAATTTCCCTGCAGCTGAAGCTCCAGCCCCAGTCCCAGTGACTCCAGCAGCTGGAGATGCAAGAGGGAGGAAGGAGGACACCTTGTAAGGAAAGGAGGTTTGCTCCTCCCATCCATTTCCCCAAAACGTTGCTGATGGATGCTTAGAAAGCACCAATCCCTCGGTCTGACAGGACAGAGCAAATTGGAGGAGATCTTATTTTAAAGCCACTCTCCCAGGTTTGAGGAGGACTCTGGTGCTGGAGCTCTGCAAGGAGGAAGGGTCTCCTCTTCCCTGGGGTTCCTGTCACTTTTCCAACCCCTGCGAAACACCACGGAGCTTTCAGCCCCATCGTGGCTCTTTTTCTTTTGGACTTTACGTGCAATTTTCAGCTCCAAATCTCTGAATTTGGAATGAGCACAAAGACCTCTAGTAAATAAACTCCGACGCATTTCAGCTCCTGAGGTCCCACCTCAGATTCCCCCAAAAGGGTCTCGTTGGTTCACGGCAACTTTGCTGACTACAACCACAATTTGAGGTCAGGAACCTGCTCCCCGTTTCCTTTGAGCCTGGTTTTGGAAGGGGGAGAAGATGTTGGTATCAAACTTCACCCACACGCATGTTCCCTCCGGGCTCTCCAGATGTCATCTGGTGCGTGAAGATGCCCCTAGGTCAAGACTTTGAGCAAGGACTTGTCATCCTGGGGCAGTCTGGGGACAGAGACTCCAGAATTCAGGACCTGGGTTCGTACCCTAGTCCATCATTAGATGAGCCAGACCAAAAAGGGAAAAAAAAGTCAATTTATTTGGGGGAAAAAGTCTTGATCTAAGGTCCATCTTTACTGTTTGAAGCTGCTAATCACCTGCATGTGGTTTTGTTGTGTTCTTTGCTCCTAACGTCCTCGTGTCGTTGTCACCACATTTCTCAGCAGTTGCCCTCCCAAGAAGGGAGTTGGGGTGGGAATGTTGGAGGGCAGATGAGTCCCCCCTGGTCAGCCTTGGAGGGGTTCTGGCTGCTGGTGTTGAGCTGATCAAAGAGCCAAAGACTGCAAGGCAGTTGTAGGTTCCCCTCTAGGACATCCTGAAGCAGATCTTGGTCCTCATTTACCATGTTGTTCTTGAGCTTCGTGGGGCTTAACCCCTAGTGAGGGTGCAAGGAGGTTGGGTAGATGCTCGTCCCATGTCTTTAAGGGGGAACCTTCCTCACCCACCTCGGAGTTTCCCACACACATAACTTGTCCCTGGGCACTGGTGGAGAGGAGGAGCACGGTTGTTAACATCTAAAATGGCTCCACTTAAAATTAACCCTGAGGCTCCAGGCTTCCTGGAGAGTCAACGGTGGGAGGAGGCATCTCAAGAACCTCAAAGTCAAAGCGATGCCTTTGATGAACTTGGTTTTCCTTCACCACAGACTCTCCAGGGAGCTGAAGAGCAGCAGTCGTTGAGGTTGGGGTATGATGATGGTGGTGTGGTGGTGGAGGTCAGAGTGTGG